TTTTCAGATGCGTTTCGTTGTTCTTCAAATGTAACATAATAAATGGTTTTGTACATATGTAGGATAAATGCACAATGTAAAATGTTTACGTGGATAAATGTGTGTATCTGCGCGCGCCTGAGAGTGTGGTGATATTTTGTCAAGACGTAGAACTCAGTCTCCTGAAGACGAGCACATGTTGTTTAATAAACCTCTGTTATGATCTGAGCTACAGCAGTGGCAACATTTTTATTTCAAACTAAATTAATGAGTTTTGTTTTTCTGTATCAAGGGAAAACAGAAATTAGGGCAAAATAATTAAAAAATAAATCCAAAGCGCATTGATAGCATTTTGAAAGATGAAAACAAACATATGTGTGTTTCTTATTTCATAAATCAAAATCAAAATCAAAGAATAACAGTTGGACATAAGTTTACTTATGTAAACTTTACAATTTTTCACCATTAGATTCAACGTTGTCTAAAAGCAGGCTGTGCGTAAAGTGTGCGTAAAGATGGGTCGCATTCTGTCCATCATGACTCCACTCTGGAAACTGACTTTCAGTTCTGCTTTTTACGCATCAAATTTATGATCCGATGTGGGCGGGAGGGGGGTGGGGGTGGGGGGAGGGGGTGCGGTAAAACAAGCTGTCAGATAATATGTTCCGCGAATTGATTTCGATGGGAGGAGTTTCTTGCCTCCAGGGGCTAGGTAAACACCTTCAGCGTCTTTTCAAGCCGCGCTTCCACATGTGGAGCTGCAGCGTTTTTGTGGCGCGGCGCGAGGAGGACGCGGGTGGGGGGGGCGCGGTCAGTTTGAGCTTTTATTCCCAAGAATATGGAGAGTTCGTGGCACGGACGTAGGAGGTAATGTGAGCCTCTCCAAACTCCTGTGAGCTCCTGGGCGCTGCATCCAACAGGTAAGTGCTTGTTTTCCTCTCCGACATTCTTAGTATTTTTTAAAGACGTGTGGAAGTTAAAATAGATATATTGTAGTTAAATTATATCAAACTTTTGCAAACTGGTCTAATTTATAAATGTTTGACTATTTGATGACATCACACATCTCTTTGCGTTTAAAGTAACGTTATTTTTTAAATAAAAAACAGCTTTTAAATAGTTTTGTCACTTATCTCAATTCATGGAATGCCATATTTTGATTAATATTTGCGCTTTTGTTCAACCTGTTTACTGTTTCAAACTTGAAATGTTTAAAAGTCAATCCATTGACTTATTAAAAAAAATGCGTTTGAGATTTATTTTTTCACGAGTCAGGATGCTCAGAGGAGCTGCGTCAAGTGTTCCCAAGTTTGGAATCTCAGCTTTTATTTCTCATAATACCCTTACATTTTTAAGTTTAAAAAGTGGGATAAGCAGTAAACAAACCCTTTCTATATTCTCTCTATATTTTTTTTAAATATCTTTTTCCCATCAAATTAACCTTTATCCAATTTACCTCTTTTTTTTTTTCTCAGGCAAAATAACTGAATATGGATTTATTCTTGTCAACTAAAATGTCACTTTGTTTACGACTAGTATAATGACAAATATAAAATAATATTTTTAAGATGCATGTCTGCTTGCAGAGGTGCGCAATGGGGCGCAGCTGGATTTCAAGGACAGGCAGCAAATTGCATTAAAGCGATGAAGAATGAAGGCGCGAGCTGCTGGCTCACTTTCACATGTAGCCAAATTCCTCAGTGGACCTCGTTTATTTATTGCAGTGGTTTTACTCCCCTCCCCCTCCCCTTTCCTTCCTTCTTAAAAAAAATGTTTCAAAGCAGGGACGGCTCGAGTCTCTCGACCGAACTTGGACTGAAAACATGACATCCCGCCAGAAAGAGGGGACAAGAGGTCAAGACAGCCAAGTATGAAACTATTCAGTTCAATTAAACTGATTCATTCAACAGTTTTACAGCTTCACTTCCTAAACACACAGCTCTTGACAGTGTAATAATACCCTTAAATATAATATTAACAGTGTTTCTGTTAATTTGCTCAGTCTGCGGCGCTGAGTTCAGCACCGCAGACAGCGGCGGGTGTAATTCCAGTACTGACCGCTAGGGGCAAAAACACTGTTTGTGTCTACACCAGCATATTTCAGATGGTAACTTTACACACACTCCTCCTTCTGCAACTATTGACCATAATCCAGATTACATTTTAACAAAGAGAGAACAGTGTCTCCTGAAGTCTGATTGGTGAAAAATTGAACTTTAGCTTTGATTTACTCTCAACTTACTCTTACACTTGAATTTCCCATCGTGAGACAATAAAAGCTGTTTCTATTCTATTCTATTCTATTCTATTCTATTCTATTCTATTCTAACTTCCGCACATCTCTCCATCTTCATTTTATCAGCTTGGCTTATCAACTGTTTTCAGAATGCACATTATGTAACTTCAGACAGAAAAAATAATCAATCTGCACTTTCCAACAATACCCAATAGGGAGTTTTATTCTCAAACAGGCCTCAAAGCATTCAAGATGAATTATTAACTCAGAGTCTAAACATAAAAACATTACAAAGACCCACCAAGGAATTACTTCTTTATACATAAAGCAACACTGAGACAGAACGAAGATGTAAAAATGTAGATCATCTGCTGCCTTTTATCTTGAAATTTTAATGTAGTTGTTCTGATAGGTGCTGCCAAAGGTCCCGGTCCCCCCATTGAAACAAACACTTGACACATACCTGAAATGCATGCAGCACCTAGTGACCGAGGAGCAGTTCACGAAGACCACTACCATCGTGGAGAAGTTCGGGGCTCCTGGAGGCGTCGGTGAAGTTCTCCAGAAGAAACTTTCAGAGCGACGGGACAAGACAACCAATTGGGTAAAAACAGAGATCTAAAATATGTTGCGTCATTTAGAAAAAGACAAAAAGACTCCATTTTTCTTGCACTAATAAAATATTTGTCTTTTATTTTCCAAACACAATGATGTGCTTCTTTGTTTAATATCATACATTTTTGCAATGGGTATAAATGATTGTGAAATTATTTTAATACAATTAATGCACAACACTAAGTGTAACTATCTTAAAATCAAAGTTGCAAAGTGATATATAACCCATATCAGAGCTGCAAGATAATTCCAACATTTTGTGATGATTTATAGAGCCTCTGCTCACTCAATTTTCCCTCACACGTCTGCGTAAGCTCACTGAAGTCCATCAGACTCCCACTCTTTGTTTCATCTGCTGGATGAAACACTGTAGTCTTTGCTCCATTACCCACAGGTCCCAGCTCTGAAGGCAATCAAGCCAAATGCTTTGCAAAGCAACATTTTTCCCGGTGTGTCCCGGTGTTTATTTTCAGGTCTGTGACTACTGGTTGGAGGACATGTACCTGAACAACAGGCTGGCTCTTCCGGTCAATTCCAGTCCTGCCATGGTGTTTCCAAAGCAGACATTCAGAGATCAGAAAGATGCCCTCAGGTATCTGCTGCTGGACTTCTGGTTCTACTCAAGTAGTCTTAAGGCTTCAACAGCAACAGAGAAAACAAACGTAAAGGCTCCTTATATATTTTTATGTTGGGGAAAAAACAAAACATACGCAGGCTTGACACCTGCCAGATGATGTGCAGATTTTTCTAACAACTTGTGAAGTGAAAAAAAAAACAATTTTAAGGTCTAAAGTTTAAATGTAAAATCTAGTTTTGGTGTGGGTTTGGTAAATCTCCTGTAAAAACAATGCATAAAAGGAACACATATTTTTCATTATTATTGAATTCAAGTGTTCCCAACCCTGGTCCTTGAGGAACACCATCCTGCATGTTTTAGTTGTTTCTCTGTTTCGACACACCTGATTATAAATGGGTGATTAACAGGCAGAACATGAGTAAATAATTAAATCACTGAATCAGATTGTTGGAGCAGGGAAACAACTAAAACATGCAGGATGGTGTTCCTCAAGGACCAGTGTTGGGAAGCACTGAAATAGTCTATTCTGTTGCTTACTTAATTGACAGCATTGTTAGCTTAATGTCTAAATCAAAGGAAAATAAAAAATGTATCCCAGCAGCAATAGAAATCTGATTTCATGTTTTCCCTGACATTTTTTAGAAGAAGTGTGAACTTTTGAAATTTTTAATTTTAAGATGACTTCATTTACCTTTGTGTTTCATTTGATTGAAAACTGCTGAAAATCTTCTCCTCAACTCACTCTTTGAGAAAAACAAGTGTGAAAAATTAAAGATGACTGAAGTTAGGTGTGCCCTCTCACTTCTCCGCTGCTGAAAACACAATCCCATACCTTTTTACAACATTATAAAATCTAAATCTTGAGCTTTTTAGCTGCTGACAACATTTATATTTTCAACAGAGGCTCAGATTGAGATCTGAATTATTAAATGAGCCACAGTCCACCAGACATGACATGCACCCCTCTAGCTTTGTAACTCGACATCAGCTTCTGTGAGCTTGCTCCACGCTAACTGAATATTTCCAGGACACACAAAGCAGCTGGTAATCCACTGACGTGGCCACTTATTAGATCGGGAGTGACAGGGCCAAGCTCTCCACAGAGACTGAGAGTCAGGCCTCATCCAGGGGTGTGGCGTGCTGCATCTGCCTCCTCTGTATTGATCAGGCTTAGAGCGTAATAACACCAAGACAAACGACATACAACATGAGACCTGACAAGGCGCTGTGTTTTCCCTGTTTGCCCTCCCTCACACATACAATCCATCTCTCCCTCATTCAGATAAACATGCACAGCTCGCTTAGTGTATCCAAGCAATTTACTGTGATTCGATTACCGTTGGCCTTCAGATAAATGGTAGTAATATCTAACTGTAGTCATCATCCAGCACGTTTTTGCATTTTCAGTGCTTTAGAGCTAAATCTGATATTTATTTATTTATTTATTTAGATTTGCTGCTCAACTCATCCAAGGTGTGTTGGAGTATAAGGCTCTTGTTGATGCGTAAGTTCAGTTTTTTAAGTGATCACCTGACACTGCGTGGCCACTCTGGGTTTATTTTAAAACTCTAACAATGATGGCTCAGAGGTAATCAAACATCTGTGATTGTGTCTTTCAGGAGAGCGCTGCCGCTGGAGTTTGCTCGAGGCCAACTTGCTGGGACTCCTCTGTGCATGGAGCAGTACTACCGCCTCTTTAACTCCTATCGTTACCCGGGGTTAAAGACGGACACGCTGAAGGTCCACATGACTTTAGACTCCTCCGTGCTGCAGCACATAATTGTCGTGTGCAAGAGCCAGGTGAGAATGCTGACCTTCGATTAAACTTGTCTCGCTCTGTCACACTCCCATTTTACAACTAAATAAATAACATGAGAAGATCTACGATCCCTATTCCAAAACCAGTTAAGAAGTTGTGCAAATTGTCATGTTTTTTTTATACATTATTTTACTCACAGTGGAACATAGTAAACATGTTGTTGAAACATACTGTTGGGAAAAAATAGATACATTTAAAATTCATGACAGCAGCACGTCTCATAAAAGTTGGAGCAGGTTTATGTTTACCACCGTGAAGCATCCTCTCTTCTTTTAACGAGTCTGCAAACGTCTAGACCAGCTGCTGGAGTGTTGCGAGGAGAATGATGCTCCATTCTTGCCTATTTGAGTCCTCGGACTCCTCCCTGAATCGCCACCTTATCGTGGTGGAGGAGTTGGTGTGCTTGAATGAGCCTAGCAGCTACGCTGTCGAGGGCAATTATAATTGCTCCTAGGGTCTCCCAAGGCAGATTGGTTCTAGATGACTGGCCAGACAAAGAATGATTCAGAAGATTCTTATGGACAAGGAAATACAAGGAGCCCCGCTAACCTACGTCCCTTGCCTGGATGTGGGTTCCTGGGGACCCACCCTGGAGCCAGGCCTGGGGGAGGGGCTCGTCCCATGGGTCCTGGTCAGGCTCAGCTCAAATGAGCAACATGGGTTTGCCTTCTTGTGGGTCCACCACCTGCAGGGGGGCGGGGGGCATGATGCCATGGGCAGTGGCTGAAGGCGCTCTGACCCAGGCTTACCAAAGCTGGCTCTTGGGACATGGAACGTGACCTCTCTGGAGGGGAAGGAGCCTGAGCTTGTGCGTGAGGTTGAGAGGTACCGACTAGATATAGTTGGGCTCACCTCGAGGCACAGCATGGGCTCTGGAACCGATCTCCTTGAGAGGGGCTGGACTTTACTCCACTCTGGAGTTGACCATGGTGAGAAATGCTGAGCAGGTGTGGGTTTACTTTTAGCCACCATCTTGGTGCCTGTGTGTTGGAGTTTTTCCCGATAGATGAGAGGGTAGCTTCCCTGCACCTTCAGGTGGGGGGACGGGCTCTGACTGTTGTTTGTGTCTGCACGCTGAACAGCAGTTCACAGTTTCCGGCCTTCTTGGAGTCCTTGTAAAAGTTATGTGACCTTGCAGAAAACTGAACTAACTCTTTTTTTTAAACTGGAAACAATTCAAAAACATTTCAATGCAGTACACTCAACGGTAGCATGTCACAAAATGGTAAATACTTCAACAGTAAAATGTGAAATTCTAGCTCCAAGAGCCAAACTGTAGAAATTGGTAAATTAAAAAAAAGCAGCAATTTAGAAGCTTTTACAAAAATAAATAAATAAATTGAAAGAAAAGCCATGACGCAACATGGGAGGGTAAGGTAAACTGGCTCTGATGGTCAAATCTGGATTTTAAGGAGGTTCACTTTCCTAAGAGGCATCCTGTTAAGGACTAAACCTGCTCCCTCTTAAACACTTGCACCAAAAACAGCTGATCTCAAATCTGTAATCTGTGCCATCTTAATCCCCCAAAGTGCACAAGTCCTGACTGATTCTCATCATTCACTCAAACCCATTAAAACCAAAGCCACCAACATCTGCAGGAGCTCTCACCTGGAAATTATTCTGCGATCTTATGAGCGGTCGGTTGAACGTGAGGGTCCATCCCCATGGAGCTGCAAGAAGTTAACTTAATTACTGCTGATTAAATCTGCCACTTTGTCTTAGTGCTTCCCCGGGTTGCAGTTCCACGGATGGCACCAGAGGAGCAGTTGGCCAAATTATTGCCAACGACCATTTCAACTGTTTCAATACTGCACTGCATTATTAAAGACGTAACGAAAATCATTTCTCTTGTAGTTTTTTGTGCTGGATGTGGTCGCAAACAACAAACAGCTGAGTGAGACGGAGATCTTATCCCAGCTGGAGAAGATTGTGAAAATGTCTGAAAATGCGGAAGAGAGACACCCTCCTGTTGGGCTCCTGACATCAGACGGCAGGACGGAGTGGGCGCAAGCAAGAGAGGCACTAACAAAAGGTGCGTTCAAAATTATTTCTGCTCATGTTATTTGTTGTTTTAAAACGTTTGTAAGGAAGTTGTTTAAAATGTAAAAAAAAAATGGAATGCCATGATTTGCAAATCTCATATTTTATTCACAATAAAACATAATTTTGTTGAAGCTGTAATAAATCCCTAACAAGAAAAATCACCGTAATGCCACTTTAATTGGACATTTGACACTTTATCCATGCTGCTGATTTCTTACCCATAAGCTGCTACCATCTGCTCGCAACAGACTCATGTTCAGGCTGCTGTTTAATACTCTGTATTATATTATTATTGTTTAGCGTATATCTTAGATCAGAAGTCTGCAACCGTTTTAATCAAAAGCGCCATGCCTGCCCCTTCGCTCACTAAATAAAACACGTCTGGAGCCACAAAACCTGCTACAACTGTGATTATCAACTGATGGCCCATGGGCCACTGAGTTTGTTGGGGGGCCAGTGGGGGTGACATTATAAAACTGAAATTATGTAATGGATTTCCACAATTATTGATATTTTTGGGAGTGGTGGTGCAGAGTTTAGAGAAGGTGGACCTGCGATCGGAAGGTCGCTGATTCAACTCCCGGTACCGACAACATCAAAATGTGAGTGGGATAGGTGAAGCACCCACACCTGCCTCCACATTTATTTGCCCCACTGTGGGCTATTGAGCAAGGCCCTTCGCCCCCACCATCTGCTGCCCCCGGGTGCCCTAGATGGCAGCTCTCTGCTCCACAGAGGGCTGTGGTAGCTCGGTGGTCCGTGGTTACATCAGTAAGGGCATCCAGCGTGAAAATAAAAATAAAACATTGCCAAGTCTTCATGTGACTTTGTTTTCTGTGGTGAACCCTAAAGAAGGGAGAAGCTGAAAGAAGAAAAAATATATATATTTACATTTTAAGACAAAAAAGACAATATCATGTAAAGAAGGAAAATAATTATAGTTTATACTGATTTTGGTTTAAAAAATTAAACGAACTCTGCAGATCTGTGTGGAGAATAATAAATATCGGGTGAGGCTGCAGTAGCTCGGTGGTCAGCGCTGCGGTCTTGTAATCCTGAGGTTGCAGGTTCGAGCCCAGGTTGCGTCATGAAGGGCATCCGGTATAAAAACAAATTGCCAAACCTTTCATGCAAGTGGTGTCTTCTGAAGAAGAGAACAGCTGAAAGAAACTTACTACTTCAACAATTTCCTGCAGGATCAATAAACATCTTACCTTACTAGTAGTTATTGGGCAAAAATTTGACATTAAAACTGTCAAAACTAGCCTTTTCTGTTGTGGATTTAAAAAAACAATACAATTAAATTTCATGAAGTTTTGGTCAAAGCTTCAAAGAGCCGCCGATGATGGACTAAAGAGCCACATGTGGCCTCAGAGCCACAGGTTGCAGACCCCTGTCTTAGATCCTTATATACTGTTCCTTTTTGCATTTTATATTTTTGCTATTTTTGGGTGTAACTGGACCTCGAGTACACTTTATTTTTTTGAGTGTACTTTACACTTTTAACACTTGAGTACAATTTCGTTCCACCTCATGTACCACACGTGATGCGAATGACAGCCTTGATCATTTTGATATTATGAACTGTAAGTGATGGGACATTTAAAGTATTCCCAATTTTTTTCCATTGAGAAACATTAATCAGAAATTTTAACACATTTTTTCAGACTTGTGAAATCAACTGAAAAATTCAGCCAAAATGCTTTTTTTTTTTTTTTTACACTCACTCCTTTTGTTGCTTCCGTCAATTTCTAAATCACTTTATTTAAAAATAAATAAATAAATGTACAATTTCTTATTTTCATATTTTAATTAGTTTACCGTGTTCCATTGTGAATAAAATACAAGTTTATGAGATTTTTTAAATGCTTTAATTGTTTTTACACACACTTTTAAAGAGTCGGGGTTGTAAACAAGTAAATTTATCTCCCATTTTCCCGTACGCAGATCAAACCAACCGGGACTCTCTGGCGCTGATTGAAAGCTGTGCAGGTGTGGTGTGTCTGGATGAACCCTGCAAGCTTCAGCACAGTGATACCAACAGGGCTCTGATGATGCTGCACGGTGGTGGTGCGGAAAAAAACGGTGCCAATCGCTGGTATGACAAGTCAATGCAGGTAGGATCATATTCGAGGGGCTTCGGTTATTTATAAAAAGTGGACAGTTGTCACGTCCTCCTTCTCTTAGTTTGTCATAGGAATGGATGGGGTATGCGGTGTGGTGTGTGAGCATTCCCCATTTGAGGGAATAGTGATGGTGGAGTGCTCCGAGTACCTCATAAAATACATGTAAGTTCTCACACCGGAGTAAGAATACTACCATGGCAGTGAACACCCCTGAGATGACAATATTTTTTTGTTTTGGACAGAAAAGGGAGTCCTTCCGAGGCGGTTAAGCGCTCCAGTGACAGACAGCTTCCACCTCCAAGAAGGCTGCTTTGGAAATGTAGCCCCCACGTTCAAGGACTCTTACAAGCATCAGGAGACAGACTTCAGTGGTAAGACGTAAACTATTTCACTATATCTACAAACATCTATATGTACTTTGTGTTTTTTTTTTTTCTCTTCAGGCTGGTGAATAATTTCGACATGGAGGTTTTCACATTCAAAACTTACGGAAAAGACTTCATCAAGAAGCAGAAGATGAGTCCAGACGCGTTTATTCAAGTTGCCTTACAACTTGCATTCTACAAGTAAAGTGCAATCTCTTTACTGTATCTACTAAAAAAATATGTATGAAATGTGGGGAACATCTTAATAAAACGGTGCCAAATATCAGATGCAGGGGGAGGCTCGTGAACACGTACGAGAGCGCATCAATTCGTCGTTTCCAGGAAGGTCGGGTGGATAACATTCGCTCAGCCTCTGCTGAGGCCCTGGCTTTTGTGAAGTCCATGACTGACGAAAAAGCAAAATACACCGTGAGTCATTTTTCTCACTTACGACATAAATGATTGACCCCACAGCGCTGCTCATCTCCAAATGAAACAGGTGTAGCTAGCCAGCTGGGAATGCCAAACCTGGCCTATCAGATCAAACAGATGATCTCTCAGCAGATTTGTTCATTCTAAAAGGAAGTGTAGCTGGAACTGCTCTTTTTCTGTAGAATCACTACAGAAACACATGCATTTAGATTCCTCTTTACCTCTTTAACAGGATTCAGAAAAAATGAAACGACTATGGAATGCAATTAAGGCCCAGACAGATTACACGATTGCTGTGAGTATTTCAAACTACTTGTTTATTACTAATTATTGTGTCACTGTTTATGAAACATTGACGCTATCATGATCCATTTTTCTTCCATACATTTTCCCTTTCTGCAGTTTTCAAGATATTTCAACAAATCATAAATCAAAATGTTCAGCTTTTTCAGAACAATCCTACTATGACTTTTGGTATTGGTGCAACTTTGACTTTTTGAAATATTTAGCCTTTTCTAACTTTTTTTTTCTCTCAAAACGAACTAATAATAAAATGATATGGCTCCTTTCAGCTTTATTCAGCTAAGTCCAACATTTTTGTGCTTCTTGTAACTTGTTTCTGCTAATTCCAGCTTGTTATACTCCTTTCAGCTTATTGCTGCTAAATTCAGCTATTTCTGGTATTTCAGCTACCATTTACCTGTTTTATGCTAACTTCAGCTTTTTCAGCTAACTCAATTTTTTGCAGTCAATTCAATTTTTTCCAGCCTAATTCAGCAAAATCATGCTCTACCCACTTCCTTCTGGTAATTTAAGCTTTTTTCTCAATATGTTGCAAATAACACATAAAAATGTTTCAGATTTAAGTTCAAGTTCAAGTTTAAGAATCGTTATAATCCCCAAGGGGCAATTTGCCCATCTGGGTGGCAGATACCTGCATCCAGATGGAAGCAGCCTGAACATGAAAACCACAGAGCTTCCAATAAAAATACATTCTCTGGTGGGCCTTCTTACAAACTAAATATAAATGTAACTAAATGTTAGCCGTCAAAGTAATCTGTCACATCACATGTTGCCCTCATAGGCATCTTTCTAAAGCGTAAAGGGTTAGTTTAAATAATCTGAAGAGGTTCAGCAGAACAGGTATGAACAGTTAATATCTTAACTGTTCTAGACAAATATTTGAAGACCTCAGTATGGAAATATTGATTAGTTCTGACACGACTGACAAGCTAACAGCTAGTTTGAGCATAGCCAGAACCCACTGTTGTCTTAAACAACTCCAAAGTCAAATCATTTCAACATAACTCAGGCAAAGGGTATTTTACAAACCTTTACCTATGAATTTTTATATATTACAGGGTTATTTTGATAGAAATAAAATGTCTTTGTCAGAAGTGCATATAGCAGCGCACTAAGTGCTTCGTCTTTTATAGTTATAAATAAGCACAAATTTCTATGTAAATACCCACATAATATGAAATTGTTGGTGATTAAAAGCTTTAAAGTATAACACTTGCATGAGCCACTATGAACATTTTGACAGTGAATGTTTTATGGGAACAGCAAACCACTTTGAGAAGATCCAAGACCAGACTAGCCATTTGCTCGTCAATTCTGTTCAAATAAACTTTATTTCTCCAAACTAAGTTTTTTCACTGAGCAATTTACAACAATTAAAATATGAATTGCTCATAAAATCTCACATTATAACATCCTGTTTGAACAGTTTTATCAGTAACGATGGTTATGAAACAAGTGCTGAGCTTGCAAAAACATTTTTTGTGCTCATGTTTGACGTTAACTGACAAATCTTGATTTTGGATCTGAACCTTTTGGTCTTCAGGCTATAACAGGAATGGCAATCGACAATCACCTCCTTGGACTTCTGAAGACTGCAAAGGAGCTGAACATGGAGAAACCAGAGATGTTCTGCGATGAGACGTATCTGACCAGCAACCATTTCATCCTCTCCACCAGTCAGGTAGAACAAATGCTTATTTATTTCACCATTTCATTTCCCCAGACATCATGATTTTTGTTTTTATGGAAATCCAATAACATACCTTATTTTTCAGACTACTTAAAATCCTTTAATTGTCTCAAAAATCAACAGTGAGCCTTATAATCCGGTGCGCCATATAGTCCGAAAAATACGGTATTTCAACATGTGGATCTCATCAAGTTCCTCTTGAATAGCTAAAGTAATATTCAAATTTTCATGAATACTTGTAGCCTGGTTGATAAATACAAATGTGCTGTGTCTTGAAATTAAGCAGCTGGTAATATTATTGCAAAAAAGCACAACACTGCATCTTTAATGACTTTTTTGTGTATTAAAGACAACTATACTGAAGACAGAGCGATGAAAAAAAAAATCCAACATTAAAAGAACCACTAAACTTAAGTTGATTTATTTAAACAGGATGGGAGCTTGCACAAGTGCAACTTGCAACACACAAGTTGTCACAATGTGCAAAACCAATTAAGGTTATTTATTTTCTGCTGGTGTTGGACATTTTGCAGAGGGCTCTGTGTTTATTCCGACAGTCTTTTTAAATTTAAGACTCATCCAAAATAAGACTTGCTCAGCAATAACTTTTTTTCCTCAGACCTTCCCTTTATCATCCCATGCTTTCTTGGCAGCACACAAAGGTCAAACCTAAAATAATTACCGGTTTATTTTCTGTTTTTACTTATTATTATTTAATTCAATGCTCAGCGCAGCTGCAAACACAAGCCTAATGAAGACTCACAACGATATACTCTCACATGGCCTTACTTGTAACGTTTGACTAAGAGATAATTGTACTACCATTTTCTTCATTTTCATGAGAAATTAATGAGCAGAAAATAAATGTTATATTTTACACACTGACAGGAAACTGCTGTTGCTTATGCATCTTTGTATGATATAATAATCAACATTATGACCACCTAGTAATTCAGGGGAGGTCTATCAGTAGCCATAAACAGTCTGACCAGTCAGAGCATGAATAAAAAGCTTAGGGACAGTGACTGGTGTCGGGATTATTTTAAGATGCTGTGGACTGTGGGTTAGGGTCTCTGTGGATTGTGTTTAGCAGAGATGATGTTGGATCTATCCATATTTTGTGGCTGGTAAGTTTGAAAGGGTTAACATTTTTGATCAATGATACCTAAAGCTGGGGACGAGAGCCACTATGGGTTGTTGAAGCTTGCGAGTAACCGGTCTTCAGATGATTTCCATAGAATTACTTTTGAAAACAGAAGCTATATTTTTTGCCATAATCGCTACAAAAAATAACAATCAGTATTCATAAGAAGGTAAATACAGCTGTGCTTGAAAGTTTAGGAAACCTTTAGAATTTTCTATATTTCTGCGTATAAATGACCTAAACAGCATCAGATTTTCACACAAGTCCTAAAAGTAAGTAAAGAGAAGCCAGTTAAACAAACAAGACAAAAATATGATACTTAGTCACTTATTTATTGAGGGAAATTATCCAATATTAACATGTTTTTTTTGGCCTATAAGGCGCAATATCAATGAGCAGGTCTGTTTTTGGCGCACCACGAAAACAAGACAGTCAGATAAGTCAAACTTTATTCAACTCATTCACGACAACCACATAAAATCGGTTCGAGGTCAGTAAGCACAACCAGAGTTAAATTAAAATATTTTAAGTGTGCCTTATAGTTCGAAAAATAGAGTATTTGTGAGTGGCAAAAGTATGTGAACCTCTAGGATTAGCAGTTAATTTGAAGGTAAAATTAGTCAGGTGTTTTCAATCAATGGATGATGATGATCAGGTGCGAGTGAGCACCCTGTTTGATTTAAAGAACAGGGATCTATCAACGACTGCGCTTCACAACATGTTTGTGGAGGTGTATCATGGCACAAACAGAGATTTCTGAGGAGCTCAGAAAAAGAGTTGTTGATGCTCATCAGACTGGAAAAGGTTACAAAACCATCTCTAAAGAGTTTGGACTCCACCAATCCACAGTCAGACAGACTGTGTACAAATGGTGGAAATTCAAAACAATTGTTACCCTCCCCAGGAGTGGTGGACCAACAAAGATCCCTCCAAGAGCAATAGTGGGTGAGGTCACAAAGGGCGCAGGGTAACTTGTAAGCAATTGAAGGCCTCTCTCACATTGGTTAATGTTAATGAGTCCACCATCAGGAGAACTCTGAACATCAATGGTGTGCATGGAAGGGTTGCAAGGAGAAAGCTTCTGCTTTCCAATAAGAACATTGCTGCTCGTCTGCAGTTTGCTAAAGATCACATGGACAAGCCAGAAGGCTGTTGGAGGAATGTCCACAGCAGGGGTCGTGGCTTAAAATGTAGCGTGAAGTTGGGCGCAGGATGAGGAACGAAGCATTATGTGGAGCTGAGCAGTAGCTATGAAGATAGGCTGGTCCCAGTTCTTTTTTTAACTTTATTTTTATAGTTTAACAAAAAAACAGAGTTTTAAACATCTCAAGATATTTTTTTACAGCGGTCAGTCAAACGTCTGGTCTTACACAACAGTCTTCTCCAGGAGTGAGTAGACAAAATGCCTGTGATTCAAACTCATGGACCCTGTAAAGACCTCAGTTTTATCAACTCTAAATAAATTATTTGACTTCCTGAAAGAGTATGTGCAGGTTCTCTGGATTTATTCATGGCTATTACTTTTACTAATAGAAACCTGGTGTGACAGAAAAAAACAGAATACTGACTTAAAGTAAAAAGTGAACACAAAAAGAAAAGCTTTAACATAACAAAACAAAAATGACACATTATTAGACCCATTATTAGATGTTCTTATTATCATAGACCATTATCCCAAGGAAAGAAATTGAGTACGGTTACACACTTTACCAATGATCAAACTGTCATTGCTGATTGGTGCCATCTCTCAGAATGAGAATCAGAATAAACTTTATTGACATTGCACCGAGATACAACGTGAATATGTACCTACAGTCGTCCGAAGATGTGTGGAGTGCACGAAGCTGTGGCTATAAATAATTAGCGTGGCCTTCTTATCCTTATTTAGAATAATATTTTGCTTAGATGAGAAAAGGAAAGAAAACATGAGAAAAAGCCACTAAATTAAAGAAGTACTGGTAATATTTTACCCACATTCTCAACATTTGTTTGGTTTGACTCACTAACTGTGGGGTTTTCTTTGACTCCAGGTTCCAACAACACTGGAAATGTTCTGCTGCTACGGCCCGGTGGTGCCCAACGGCTACGGCGCCTGCTACAACCCACAGTCCGACCACATCATCTTCAGCGTGTCGAGCTTCTGGGAGAACACGGAGACGAGCTCGGCTGTATTTGTCAAAGCTCTCAACGAGGGCCTATTAGAAATCAAAGACCTGTGCAATAGAAGCGACGCTGCGGCCGCCAAAGCGACTAATGGCAGCCAGGCTGCCAACAAGCCTCATAAATCAGGAAAGTAAGCTACACTAAGAGAGCACGCTTACCCACCTGCTTCACTCGGTAGTCTTAGATTTACAGTCAGTAGCTTAGATGCCTTCGTGTAGTTTGTGCAATAGTTATAAAAAGCCTTAAAGTGACTGGGTAATTACATATATACGTAAATATTTAAACAGATATAACTATGGTGGCCCTAAGATGTAAATGAACAACATTTGAAAAAACGGAATCGCAGTTGAAAAAACACAACAAAAACACCAAAATCACAACATTTGTAAAAAACAGAATTACATTAAGCCAAAGCGGAAGTGACTGCAAAATCACATTAGAAAAAAAAAACATTCATTCAACCTTTATTTAGACAGGTAACTTAATCTAATTATTTAATCTAATTTAGACAGGTAACAGGTAGAAAAAACATAATTACATTTGAAAAAACGGAATCACATCAGAAAAAAAAAATGGAATTGCATTAAGCCAAAGCAGAAGTGGCCGAAAAGGAAGTGACCGGAATCACTTAAAAAAAAAACGGAATTGCATTAAGCCAAACAGGAAGTTTTTTTATTTTTATTTTTAAACTTTATTAGCAGCATAAAACCAAACAACAGAACAGTATACAGTACACACACAATAGAGATACAGTTAAAAGGATAGTCTGCTAACTGTATCTCCGTTGTGTGTGTACTGTATACCGTGTTGTTCGGTTTTATGCTGTTAATAACGTTAAAACAAACAGACAAACAAACAAACAAAAAAACTTCCTGTTTGGCTTAATGCAATTCCGTTTTTTTCAAATGTAATTCCGTTTTTTTCAAATGTTGTTCATTTACACCTTAGGGCCACCATATATAACTTTTAAAAAGCAACTTTTTCTTTGGAGATGTGTAAAGAATAAAGTTTGGTCCAAAACTTACTCTGGTAGGCTGAAGTTATGTGGTCTGCTGCTCTTAAGGAACAATAAGCCATGTCTTTTCTGCAGCGCTGATCTGAAGACAGCGTTTCTAGAGATCTTAGTATCTTAGTGTGCGTTTTTCACCCACTGTGTAATGTATCATACATGACGGGGGGGAAAAAAGTAACAATGTTAAATGTAGTCATTGTGACATCCTTTAAATGTGACCCAGCCAATTTCTCTGTGTGGCATTTTATCATCACTGTGAGATCTATTTAAATGTGCACAATTATATTTATTCTTTTATGGATGTTTATTTATTTATTGATACATAAAGTTGCCAAAGAAGTGGAGCGTATGTGAAGTCTGTCTATCAAAGCACTTTAAAATATATGCTGTATATAAACCTACGAAATTATGTTTGTGCAAATGAACACCATAAATAATGTGATTAAAAAGAAAAGAATGTGCTAGGTGCTACTGTGTTTGAAGTCCTTTACCTGAGTGTATGTTAAAGCAATAGTTACAACAATGGGTGTAAAGTGTTACAAACCATACTAAATTATAAGTCAAATGTAATTCAGAGCACTGTAGTTTTAAGGAAAAACAGTATTGAACATGTTGTAATCTGTGCAATAAAACACCTTTTTCGTGTGCAATTTGTTAGATCAGCTCATAATATATCATCAGCCTATATTTTATTAGTTTAACTAGAAATGCTATATTTGATAGATATATAGAAGACTATAAAAATAGTAACTATTTAAAAAATTGTAAATCTGGGAATGCCATGGAAGAAAATCTCTTTAAATATCTGTTTTGGGTGTTGTTTGTTGTGGCTTGTGTTGCAATGGATCAAATCATCAGTAATACTGTGACAAGTACTCGTCTTAATTACACATGTATGTACCCATCAACCTAAGTGAATGTCAGCTTTGCAGATTTCAAAATCTATCTACAAATAATGCATGTTTTTCTTTAAAAGCTGCATTTAAACATGTCTTTGTGAAAATATCCCAGGGTGTTGTAAATTATTGGTTGCACAAAATCAGAATGTGTGAGCAACTGTTATTTTTGTCAGATGCAACTGCTGTGTAATGTTTTTATATTTTAAGTTAACTAAACGTGTTTTCATTTTAACATTTGCCTGTCTAATATGGATAAGACCTGTATGAAAAGGCAACATTTACCATGTACTGTTCAGTGAATGTTTTATTTGCATAATTCATTAAAAAAAATACTAATAAATAGGTCACAAACAAGTTTTAAATCGGCCTGAACATTTCTTGTTTTAAAGATAAATGTTAATTTAATACTACAATAAAATAGGCATCCTGCTGATGTTAAGAAAATTACCATTGTAAAGTCATTTTATCCTTATTGCAAAAAAAGATCAATTAAATATTTAACATGTTTTATTGATAATTGAAATGTCTATCAGCTGCAGAAAAAAATACAGTTATGACGCAAAACATGAAAACACTATTTCATAAATACATAAAGATATTTGCTCTTGCAGTGTTGGTACTTTTTATGCATAATTTGAACATCTTATTTATACATATTCATACATAATTCATAAAAATCTCTTGTATGGTGAATTATGGAGCTGATAAGAAAATTAGACTATTATAGGAAAAGTCAAATATTTGTGTTGTTGTGGTTTTTATGCAGTTAAAGCATAAAGAAACACAACGAGACAAATTCAAACATAAAAAAGACTAAATAAAATAGAACTTGGGTTTCCAAAGTTTAAATATGCAGCTAATGTTTTGAAAATCTTACTACATTTCACAATTATTCTTCAAATATATATTTTTACTCACTCTTAAATATACAGTATGCAAATTTTTCTTTCCAGATACATGTGTCCAAAATCTACAATAGGATTCTAGAGATTAATATAAATGATTGCATTTAAGATATTTTGCATATCGGTGTGCCAAGCATGAACGTATGGTACTTAAAAGTGCCATATATCCAGTACTCCGTATTAAAGTACAGACAAATTATTTGCAATACTGACATTCCATACATTTACAGTGCAATAACAACAAAAAAAATTACAATATACAGTATTATGCAGAACTAGCTGATATTCTAAATCCTGTGCCTATAATTCAGGGAAATCAGTATACAAGTCTCAGTTTAGGCTGCATGCAACTGAATTAATTTACATCCAGTTATGTGTCAGTAATCTAACCCCCTCTCAACAAACGGTTTTGTTCCAGAGGCAGCTGATACAATAAGGCCCATAGAGAGAAACTGTTTGTTTTCTTCATTGGTTAAACCACTGAGCCATGTCAACAAAATGCCTTAAAAAAAAGAGTGGCGCTTCTGCGAACACATCTGATAATATGGAGCGTTGAAGACGTAAATCATGCAGACTCGTGTGAATTAAATAAACACCACAGTGTGTCAGTGGCAAAGAGACTATGATACTGCAAATAATCATCCGTATTAAAAGCAGATACACGTTTCATACATCAAAAGGGATACATTTTGCAGAAAATTAATTTGCATTAAAGTAACAACACACAACACCATAATGTGTCTTGAAAGCAAACACCCGAAAAAGAGGTTGCCATTAATATTTTTAAACACCTAAACTAAGTAATATGTATGATTTGAAAAACAATCAATGTCTAAATTAAAAAGTCTTTTAGAAATCTTGAAGAACCGGTGATTTAAAGGATTATTAGAAAGTCTTGCTTCATGGGAAAGAAATGTAAAAAAAGGGGGGGCATGAATACACACTGTGCTTCACAAAATAAAACTAAGAACTTTAAAGAAAATTGAACAGTTTTACTGAAACTTTTGTCTTCTTCACTTCTTTTACGCTTTGGACCAGGTGACTTTTTTGTCCGCATCAACAAAACCCTTCCTATAAATTTTTAAATAATTACTTTACTTAATGCAGAAAATACTAAACATTTATTTTGTGCAAATAGTGATAGTTTTTTCAGACTACCGTGCACTCAGCCAGACAAAGCACCTCAAGTTTCACGTCCCTCTTTGATTCATTTACTTCGTCCAGGGTGAATTTAGAACGATGCGGACCAAACACTGCTCTTGTGAACGTCACCTCACAGCTCTGATTCTGGATTTCCAGCCGTGAGTCTAAAAGTAGAACGATCATCTGGGTCGAAAGTCACTGAAAGTCTGCCGTGCAGCGACCACTGTGCGAGGAGCAGCTTGTGACAAGACTTGGCATTGAGATCAATGAAGGAAGCCCACCTGGAGATGGATGATGTGAGAACATTAGCACTAATAAGCGTCTGCCAGGCTACAGAAAGGGAGAGGTCGTACCTGCTGGCTGCTATCGACTGGAAAGAGGAGCAAAAAGGACCAGGTCTGTTCATCCATACTTCCTTTCCTCTGCTTATTTTGGAAGAAATACACGGCCATTGAACTTGCTTCTACCTCACTTAAAAATATAACTTCAGTTTATATTATAATCTGTAAAATAAGAACATTTTACTTAATTAAAATAAGAGGAACAATAAAAAAATGAAGATTTACAGTGGTAGACAATCAATATTGCAAAACCAAAGAAGTTCAAGTGGAAATAAAAACGAGTCAAGTTGGAATTGGACTATAACGTCTAGACTGGATGGATGAGAACGTGTGTTTGAGCAGAGTCGAGACCAAACTCCCATTTTAAAACAACCTTTTAAAAAGTCACTGTGATTGAAGAAAACACAGTTCTGCAAACTTTTACACCGCTGTCAGTTTTATTTTTACACAACCGTTCCTAAAATATCGTGCAGTTTCAGGCTAATGCTGCCATTTGCATTTGCAAAACCATAAAATTCTTAGGGCAAGGTTTATAAAATTGAATTTGCATGAAATTCTTGCAATTCTGGTCATTACTTTTCATAACTTTTCCACAAAACACCAAAGTTCATGCTCAATAATCCAGGTATAAAATCCAACGATGTTCAGTCAGGTCATCTGGACGGTTACTTTTTTTTTTTTTTCCGAGAAGTTTCATCCTTCATCCAAAGGACTTCCTCAATCTGAGAAGCCACCAAACAAAACTGATTCCCACTAACAGCATACTCCATAGTGGAAAATACCAGTTTGCTGATGCTAAGACGGCCTCTGGGGCCCGCCCTCTCCCTCGTCAACTCCTCTGAGCTGGTCAGAAAGCGTCCAGATGACCTGACTGAACATTGTTGGATTTTATACCTGGATTTTTGAACACAAACTTTGGTGTTTTGAACCACTTTGGCATGACTGTCTCAGAGGAGTTGACGAGGGGCCCCAGAGGCCGTCTTAGCACCAGCAAACTGGTATTTTCCACTATGGAGTATGCTGTTAGTGGGAATCAGTTTTGTTT